TTTGTATTAAAATTTAGCCATTGCTCAAAACTCCGTTAGTATAGCATATATCTTGTTTACAATCTAATTACTATGTTTTTTGTTATTTGATCGAAAGTTGACAACACGAAGAGATGGAGAAATATGTAGCAATTCAGTTTTAGTTTACGGGTGTTGCAGGTATCTCTGTCCAAAGCTTGTTGGCAGAGACATGGGAATCTTGTGTAAATATCAGGCTGTAAATCAGTTTTATGCTTGGTCATGGGCCATGTCTAATCACAAATTTGTGGCTTCTTGGTAACATGACACAGATTTGATGCATTGAGGTTTCTCGCTAAAATGAGAAAGAAGAGAATAGTACTGGTGGGTGATTCTATCATGAGAAACCAGTGGGAATCTCTTGTTTGTTTAGTACAAGGAGTTATTCCAACTGCTAGGAAGAGGGTAACCTATAACGGTCCTTTAATGGCCTTCCATGCTATGGTAAGACATCCATCAAACATCTTCTCTTTTCCTTCTCTAGAACTACAAGTGATTGACCCTACAATTCTCATTGACAGGATTTTGAGACTTCGATTGAGTTCTTCTGGGCACCATTGTTGGTAGAACTCAAACCAGGGCCTGGAAATAAGAGAATTTTGCATTTGGATCTGATTGAAGAGAATGCAAGATACTGGAGAGGAGCTGATATTCTCTTGTTTGATTCAGCTCATTGGTGGACTCATTCTGATCAAACTAGCTCGTAAGAAAGCTTTCTTATAATCTCAAAATCTTCCCATTGAATTTTGCATCACCTGTTTTCTTTCCTTCAAGTTTAGCTTCACTTATCAATAAGCATTGTCCTCTTTAACTCCTTCCCCATCAATGATTGCCAAATTCAACACTCTAATTAATCAAGCCTTTGTTAACATCAGGTGGGATTATTACATGGAAGGAAACAGTTTGATTAGAAACATGAACCCCATGGTTGCTTATCAGAAAGGACTCAGTACGTGGGCAAAATGGGTGGATTTAAATCTTGACCCTCGTAAAACCCGAGTCATTTTCCGAAGCATGTCACCAAGGCATAACAGGTACAGGTTACTCTCATTTGCCTCATATTTCAAACAATCTCTTTCCTATTAAAAATCACAGATACTTCTCGAATAGAATAAAAATGGAATCATTTACATCATGCATTCAAAAAAAAAAAAAAAAAAGCACAAAGTATCACTGCATGTAAAGTTTGCGTTACATCTTCACGCGCATTATTTTACTATACATACATGTATATTAGTTACTCTCATTTACCTCATATTTCACCTTAATCATCTAAAGATCACTGATAACAAATTGAAGTATCATGTTGTATTTGATGGGCGTGTCAGATGTGCAAAATGACTTTGCCGTGCTCTGCTCTTCTAGTTCATGGATTTTTTATATGCAGGCAAAATGGATGGAAATGCTACAACCAGAAGCAGCCTCTGCCATTTTTCAGCCACCAGCATGTTCCTGAACCACTTATAGTTCTACAAGGAGTGCTGAAGAGAATGAGTTTTCCCGTATATCTTCAGGATATCACAACGATGACGGCTTTCCGACGAGATGGGCATCCTTCTATCTACAGAAAGTTGATAACCCAAGAAGAGAAGCAGAAACTAGGAGCAGGAGTTTCCTCAGATTGCAGCCATTGGTGCCTTCCTGGGGTGCCTGATATTTGGAATGAGATGTTGAGTGCATTGCTTTAACTGTGATGGAAAATTTCTGTGGTTTTCAAGTTTAACCAGTACAGTTCAACTACTCCAGGTCAGGGTTTATCTTTATCATCTAGCTAGAGCCTCACTTGGTTGGTTACTCTTGCAACCACATGCCTGATTTAGGTTTTTTTTCTATTTTTAATTTATGTTATCATATGGATAACATTGTGCTTGGATTTGCATTCGAATTTTCACAAGCTGCCAAAGCATCTCTTGTCATTTTGAAGCAAAAGTTACATTTTATTAATGAGTGTGATGTAAGCAGAGTAATGGATTCTGGTTATCATAAGTTACAAGTTTGTGAACTATTTCAGAAGTACGTTGGTGCTTGTTTATTCAAACTAAGGAAAAAAAAAAAAGTGAATTTGATGAACTAAGCATAAAAGAACCATTACCTGGATTAACTTAAAAAAAATATTGTTTTGAGCTTATTTTTATATGCCACTTGGATTAGCTTTGTAATAAATAACTTTCTTAAAAAGCTAAAAAGACTCCTATGATAGAATAGGTCTAAGAACAATACTAGAATTAAGACACCTAAACTTAGAAATATGAAATGAACATTAGACAAACTGAGAAATTAAGAAGCTAATATTATAGTTAAGAACTTCTATAGTGAAAGATCTTTGTTGAAGATTATTCAAAAGTTTCTAATCATGGCAGATGATATTAAGAGGATATAAGTTAGGAGAAGTTGAAAAGTTATTGTTAACAATTCAGTGAAGTAACATCTGAAGGTAGGAGAGGCAAAATAATCTTGAATCTAAAAGAATTGTTTTCTTGTGAAAAAATAATTTAAACTTCTTGATTTTCAACCAATTAGAAACCCAAAAAGTGTCTCCCTGTCTTTTGAATAAGGTGAAAACATATTTTTTCGAACTAATCTAAGTGATAGATGTTTCATATTTAGCTTATCAAGTTCACTTTTTTTCTTGAGCGTATAGGCCTTAAAAATTAAATAAAAAAGTAGTTTCATACACCTTTTTTTTTTGTGGCTAAAAAGTAGTTTCATACACTAACATTTATTATATTACTTTGACAATTTAGCTTTTGTCCACAAAACAAACTAATAAAGTTGATATATGCCAACTAAAATATCTTCAATCTGATTTTTGCTAGTAATGTAGTTTGAACCATTGATCAACCTTCTAATTTCCTTTTTATAAATTCAAAAAAAGAGAGCTATAAATCCTTGGAAAGCCTTTGGTCACCACTATTGCTGAATGAAAAGAAAAGAAAAGGGTTGAAAATGAGTATTGATGAGGTGGAAGAAAATAAAAGAAAACCAACCAAAAAAAAAAAAAGAAGGAGTTGATTACTTTTTTGAAGTTGATAGCGCCTACGATCACGGTTACGGTTAGCTTGGTCCTCCGAGCAAAGAAATTGCACTAAGATGCGCACGGGAGACTTGTAAAGTTGGTCAAATGAGTGCAACAACCACATGTCCCAGTCCAACAAACACAATAGCATCATTCACCATGATAGCTTTTGGAGCAGTTGCCAACTCCTTTGAAATGATGTTGTCCATTAAGGTACAATCATAGTAAAAGCATCACTTTTTTTTTTTTTTTTTAACGTCAGTAAAGGCATCATGTTTAGATTCCACAAATTATTAACACACAAATCAACTTATCTAACAAAAATATTCTAACCACAAACAGTGATAACCTGGTCGCTTCAGACTCAACTGCTGTGAATCTGGATTTTAGATACATGAACTTACCAATCTTTTTGAGATAGCTTTCGATAAAAATCTTTTAAACAATGTGCAATGACAAGCTTTCAACCTAACTAGAGCTTTGACAAACTAATGGGAACTATGTTATGAATATTTGAGGGGGGGGGGGGGGGAATTATTTGAAACTTTTCTCGTTGCTCACTCGCTTGGCCCTAGAACCGTTCATATGAGTTGGGCGAGAAACGGGCTTGAAAACACTGAGGAATTTTTCGTTAAATATAGTTCTTTGTGTCGACTTTATTAGCTTAATATAGTTCTTTAAACATTAATTTTGGATTCTCTGGAGTTTATATATGTACTACTGTAATTAAAAATTTAAACTAAAAAAATATGCAGACTTCCAAGCCTGACCTTGAGTCCTATCAATCATGGCCGAGTTCGAAAAACAATGTCAAAAGATGTCCAAGAAGCCGAAAGGACATCCAGTAAATAGGTAGAACTAATAAACACACTTATATTTTGACAGTTAATTAAGAGCTTGTTTTTCACTATTTTGATTTTTTTAAAAAATTTTTAAATGGATTTTATAATTCAAAGTTTTCTGAAAAAGAAGTAATTATTTGGAAAAGTCACATATTAATCACTATCATTACTATTGTGATGTTTGGTGATGGCATTTCTGTTTTAAGAAAAATATTCTTTCCTCACTTCATCGGTCCGCCCCCCCTAAAAAAAAGTAATAAAAATAGTATATTTTTTCCTTTTTTATATATAAATATAAGATAATTTTAATTAAATTATAACTTGAATCAAAGTAATTTCTTAATTTTTTTCAAATAATGTCAATTAATATTACAATTATGTTAGGTAAAGCACACAATCAATATTTTTTTTAAAACAAGAGTAAAATTATTTAATTATTTAAAAATATCATGATATTATTTATATTTAAAAAAATAAGCTTTTAAAAATTATTTTATATATAAAAATAAAGGGAGTATGTAATACATCATAAATCAAAACTGTGAAGGGTTTATCTTTTAACTTCAATATTTTGTGGCAAGGTAGCAGAGTGTACTACTTAGATGCTATCTTTGTCACAAAATATAAGAAAATTTAAGATAAGAGAATGTAAGCTAAAAAAACACAACAATAAAGCTTTATAAATTTACTTCTTAAAAATAAAATTGCAAACTTTTAAAAATGCCCCTACAACAATAAAACTTTATAAATTTACTTATTACAATATTATTTTAATTTTCGCTCCACTTAATGAGTAGTATTGAAAGAATATTATTAATAAAATTTTATTTTTTTCAAATTATATTATATTTTAAAATAACAAATTTTTCTAAAGTTGTCTCATAAGAGATTATTAAAAAAAAAAAACTAAACAGACAAAGTTTGGGTGGAGGTTCTCTCCATCTTTATTTTTATTTGTCTTTATTTTTCTGTCTTGATCATTTATATTATTTTATTAAATAATTTTAATAAAATATTTTTTAAAAAAAATTATAAAATTAAATTAGTGAGTGATTGAAACGAGGGTAGTGGAGGGAACAGGAAATAAAAGAAAGCCAGAGGTAAGCTTGACCCGCAAGTATGAATTACAAGCCAATAATCATCGTCTGCAAGCTCCACTTTCAAAAAATGAACATTCAAATACACGGAACACAGACTCTGGTGAGCTCTTTTACAACTATTCATAACCAGCAACTGCTATGAAACATTTTCTACTGTTTACGATTCGGATAATCAATCCTGAAGCAGCTTCTGCTTTGTTTTTAATGAACAGATTATAATATCTCTAAGAAGCAACAATACTTGAAAAATTTGGAATTCATTCTGTCAGATTCACACAACACTTCATGATTATTTTTGCATTCAATCCACATTGTTGTGTTGGAGTTTTTGCATGAACAGGTGAATGACTAAGTAAGCTAGCCAGAAGAAAACCTTTTCCTCAACTTGTAAAGCTCGTTGGGGCTCAATCCAAAAGCCTTCTCCAGAAGCTCCACCTTGATCCCAGATCCAAAAACTGCGTTAGGGATCTTCTGCAACCCAGGATTCTGGCTATCGAAGCTTCCTAGAATTGCCGCCGGCGAATCGCCCACGTTCATCTGGAAATGAACCAGACCCCTCGGGAACACCATGACCTCTCCCTTCTCAATTACTTTCGCGAAAATCTTATTGTTGGTGTCGATGAATCCAGAATAAACCTTACCTTCCAGCACGTATGCGATTTCCGTCGCCCTAGGATGGAAGTGAGGCACGTTCACGCCTCCGACGTCGAAATCGGCGCGCACGAACGACATTCCGAGAGTGTTGAGACCTGGAAAGAGCTTGGAATTGACGGCCGTGGCAGAAAACCCGGATTTCTTGAAGTTTCCGGGAAACTTTATCCCGGAAAATGTGAAGTCGTGGACTGTGGCTAAGGATGCGTTTCTGCAGGAGAAAGGGTTGGATGGTGATACCGGTATGCAAAAATCCATGACTGGATCTGCGTCAGAACCAAAAGCAACAATGGACTGAAGCAAGAAAAGGAGTAACAAAACTGTATTCTTCATTGTTAGTGTCAGAAATTGAAGATGATCAGAGAAAGAAATGGAGGTTTTGGCTCGCAAAATTGGTGAATGAGATTCGAAAGTTGACTACTAGTTGATTGGTGCATCGATTATTGGGGAATCAAACTACTTATAGACAGAGAGACACACACGACGAGTTTGTTTGAATTGGAAGAAAGAGGAACAAGTTGATGCACCAACTCAACTCGGATTGAGTTGTATCTTCTTTTTGCTTTGATTTGAATATTGCTTGATGCACACCTATCTTGAATATTGAATTATTGCCTCCATCCCCTGTCTTTATCTTTAGTGCTTCAAATTATTAGAAATTTGGTGGAGGGAAACGGATTCAAAGTGATAAAAGGAGAAAGAACATTCATTGCTTATTAGCTTGTGTAATGAATTTGATGTGAAAACTAAGTATCAAAGTAGCAGTTGAAAAGGTAGAGATTTTTCTTTCTCTAAAGATGTACTTCGAGATTGTTGAAGAGAATTATTATTTGTTAACTGGTCCCAGTATCTTGGATGATGATAGTATTGGCGCATAAAATTAATTTGTTGTGTTTTAGTTATGAACTTTATATATATCTCTCTCTCTCGCACGCACACACACTAATATAATTATATGGATAATAAACAATTTTTATCTAATAAGAATGCAAGATATGAAAAATCGATGTGATACAAAGTGTTATGGAGAATTAATTTTTTTCTAAAGAAATTTGTTTTAAAGACCAGAATAAGCATATGATGTTTTGCAATGTAGGTGGAAGATTGTGCCTCAAATAATGGTTACTGTGTAAACCTTTGAAGGGAACATGAAATTCCTTGATCTGATAAGATTTTAAAATAAGGCTAGAGAGACAGGTCCATAAAAAAGGGGAGGTAAATAAAGGCACTATATAAATTCAAAATGTCAATGTCACAAGTCTCCTATTGCAAATAATTCCATATATGAAATGATTCAAAATATTGTTCACAAAAATAAATCAAAATATCATAACAAAAATAATTTCTTAAATGCCTCCCATGTGCAATCCACCGTAGAGTATAAAGTATAAACAGTAATTTTTTTTAAAAAAAAGGCAATAAGAATTGAATATTATTGATAGTAATTTTAGTTATATTGAATAGGTCAATATTTAAAAAAAAATCATTTTAAGCTGTTTATAGGAATTTAAATATTATTCGAATGTCTCACACACCATCTGTCATTGTTTCCCACGTGATGTGCCCAGATGAGAAGATGACAAACCGTTGCTTCAGTTCTGGTCAAAGAAAGTAGGCCTTCAAACAGCAAGCTACTGAGGATGAGAATCGTCCTCTTAATGGGTTTGACCAACCTTCAAAGTGATTGATTGAGATTTTTTTTGAGGGGACTACTTTCGCCATTTCCGCCCCCCAAGTGAACTGTCTCATATATCCTAAATCATTAGCTTGTGTGTTACCGCGGGTCATAGAGGCACACTACCTTGTTCAAAGATGGAGTCCAAGCTTGAATCCCCACAGTCAAACACTTAGCAAGCTTGCCATCTGGATTCGTATCCCTAATCTTCCCGCTTATTTATTACTGCAATGAGACTTTTCTCTGGAGATTGGGTCATATCATCGACAGGATTCTGAAAGTTGACCTCAAAACTCTCCAACATAAAAAAGGGAACATATGCGAGGATCAGTGTCGAGATCGAATGAGTGCCTTCCCATGGACGTAACAAATTATTATATTTACTAATTACTAGAACTAATAAAATAACTTGCATCTAAATTTATTTGCAGATGTACATATAAGAGCTTCAAAACGAACAAGTTCCATGAAGATCAGTGTCAAAACCCTGCACAAACACTCTTTAGTCCTTAGAAAATCTACAAATGATCAAGTTCTATAGCCTATAATCTTTCAGTCATTATCACTGAAAAGAATAATCACCAGCGATTGTCATCATTTAATGTTTCCAACATATAATGAATAAATATACACATAAAATAAGAAAAAATTGCTCGCAGCATTTCTCGTGGCAATTTGATTATATAATTAACAATAGAAGTAGACATCATAACCATTGGAGTAAGCACTCAACACCAATTGTATGCGTGGCAATCTCTTCGTTGTCGCTCACTTTCCAAATCACAGAGCTCTAAGTTACAAGGCTGAGCCAGTAGCATTCTTTGTCCTCTCTCTCACCATTGTCTGCACAAACAGCTCTCCGGCCCTGTATGAAGATCGTACCTGAAACACAGGAAGGGATTTCCAGTGAGGTGAATAATTCATTAGTTCATAATGAAAGATCAGAGGATTATATATTATACACACAGAGAGACTCGCAAATTAGGTTGGTCCATATGTATGCTATCCCAGCACAATAGGGCTAGGCTTGAACCTAACATTTGGATCAATGGCATAGATTTAGCCCGTTCTGTTAGGTCTATGCACTGTAAGGCCAAGTTGGTTTGACCCAAAAATATATCATCTTTTCTCCATTTAAATTTTGCATTATATTCATTCTCTAGTTTCTGTTTTGTCACTACATAATATATATATATATATATATAGATTTCCAATAAATCAAACAAAATAAGAACTGGCTATTTGGACAAATATGTCTATGCCTGTTGAAGTTACTAAATTGACTCTAAACTAATTTTAGTCATTTTTCGTCTTTTTATATGAGATATGTCCTTTATTGCAATATCTGTTAAATTATGAAAAAGAATTACCATGGGCCAGTCTGAGATTTACCCATGGTCCTTGGCCCACTACTTGACCTTTAATGATGGGCCTAAATCAAAACTGATTTGAGATCAAAACTAAAACCGTACTGGACTTCGGCCATAGGCTAATTCAAACCGTAAACACACACACGACTGATTATTGATCTTGGCCTATCCAGGGCAATTTGTCAATAAAGTACAAAGTACACTTAGTGCACGTTTGGCACACAGAAAAGTGTTTTCTACAAAAGAAAGAGAGAATGTATCTATAAAGAAAATGAGATAGGTGCGTTAGTCATTTCCTTTTCAGAAAGCATTTTCCCATCTACCAAACATTGTATTTGTCCATCTGAATGATTTGTCACAGTCCCACAATAGATCGAGATGATCATGTAAACAAGTCATGAAAAAGGAGGATACTAGACTAGCATCCTAGTGCATTGTTAATTAATGAGCTTACCAAAGGTCCGCTGGCTACATATCGAAAACCAATAGATTCCCCATATTCTTTCCAGAAAGCAAATTTCTCAGGACTGACATACTCTTTGACAGTCAAGTGCAATGGAGTTGGCTGCAATGGGAACATATTTTGAATTAACAAGAAAGGTAACAAGTTGTAATGTCAACAAGAAAATTGTACATTGCACAAATTGAAGACAACCCAGAACATGTTATTGCAATTCCAAAATTGTGAAATGCTATTAGTGAAAATTCAGAGTCGTTTGTAAGAAATAAGGAGCTTCAAGATTGGACAGGAGTTTAAGATCCAATTTCTAATGCTTTTAGCAGGCTGGGACAGAAAGCACCAAAGTATTTTACATCAACGCACCTGCAAATACTGACCGAGTGTTAGAATATCAACATCAATGGACCTTAGATCAGCCATGGCTTCCTTCACCTCATCATCGGACTCTCCAAGGCCCAGCATTATAGAAGTTTTTGTTATCATACCTTCCTTGCTATGTTTTGCATGTTTTAGAACTGACAAGCTTTGTTCATACCTGAGCAAATGGTAATTCAAAATAAGCCTAAGAAAACAGATTGTTTACGCCTTAAATCATGCATTAAGCAATAAAGCAGTGGCTTTGGCCGGCATTTTTGCAGTCTTTTACGCAGAACCTTCTTCCTTTTACTTTTGTTTTTCATCTGGCTCTATGTGCCAATTTGATATTATGAATTTCAGTCTATGAAGCATATATGCAATGTAAATGCTAATAAAAAATTATACTGATATAGCGATACGACAACATTGGGGAAAAAAAAACAGGATCAATGCCCTTAGGATAATCAACTCTCCCTTAAAAGTTAGCTATTGAGATGGGAAAACCAACTCACTTAAGTACCTCAAAGAGTATTTCATATTACTCATTGTTGGAGTTAGGCTAACTATACTATCCAAGTTTCCATGATAGCTAGAGGAAGAGCATCAGATCCACTAGTAGACATGAAGAAGCTTTCCCACGGGGAAATAGAAACTTTGACCAAAGTTGAAATGGAAGATAGGAACCAATTTCAAAGAAGATGGCAACAGAAATTTCAACCCAAATGCCTTAGTTCTTTTGCTTCAATGAAAAGTTTTAGTTTCATGCAAAGTTTCAATGATTCAATCCAAGGTGTCAGTTATACAATGGCCATATCCCACCCATATTTCTTCTAAATCAGTTGCTGGGTTTTTTCTTTTTCCTTTTTTGTAAAATAAAAAAGTTATGTTCCACAAAGTTATTGGAGTTGGACAAGCATCTGACATCCAAACACTAATACACAAGGAACTTGCATGGCACATATCAGTGGTTCATTCCTTTTGTTCAGGTTTCGATATATTTGACAGTCATTTTTAGATTTCTGAGACATTTCAACACATCAAAATAACTTTAGGACATTCCAAACTTTCCAAACCGGTTTAGAGCATTTGCTCAGAATCTGATAGGAAATGTTTTGGCCAAATCAATTTGGAAACCTAGCTTAGAGATTCAGGTGTGCAGCATATAGATACATATCTCAGTCACATCCAAGGATGGAGCCCCTCATTGGTGTTTCTCCAAAACAAATACAAAATGGTTGACTTTCTGATTTTGTATGACAAAATAGTTGGATTGGATCAGCAATGCAACTTACCCAGCCTTAGGATCTCTAACAATTCTTTGAAGCCGTTTCACTGTTTCAATGTTGTGAGCAAAGACATCTAAGCCTGAGTGAACCAGAGTCTCTACAGCCTTCAAATCACCCCGGAAATCAGATGTTAAACACTCAACCATGATCTCAGGTTTCAGCTTCTGCAAAAACAACAAAAGAAACAACCTATATTTATTTGCAATAGATGGGAAAATGCATCTTAAACCAACAGTTTAAAATGTTAATGAACCTTCATAGCTTTGACAGTCTGAGCAAAATGTCCACTTCCTCCATCAGGTATATCATCACGATCTACACTTGTTAGAACAATATAATCTACACTGAAAAAGTAGGAAACTTGTAATTAACAAGGAAGTACATCGAGTAAAATTCGTGTGAAGACTGTAATAATATAAAAAGAAGTAAATGATTTGCTTCCATATGAAATGCACTTGCACAAAGGTGTGAACTCTATAAGATTTCAGAAACTACAGAAGTTTACAAAAAGTTTAGTAGTGTTTTACATATTTCGATGCTGAAGGAACAGACACCTACCAGGATGATTTCTTAAATCATAAACGCTTGCCTATCAGAAGCAAATGATTATGACAATGTCAATTTTTGCAACAAAATGATTCCTATCTATCACTTTCTATCAATGACTCATTACAGTGTCGTAAAGTGCGCAACATAAAAGATATAAAGATTATGACAAGCATCAAGCAGTCATTAGGCTACACGGAAGGAAATGTAACTGAACAAATACAACTGAGGGAATCTGTGTTCCAGTCACTTTGCATAGAAATTTAGGGGATTTAAAATTGATGACAGTTTCCTATAAGAAAACAATGTCAAGATTAAAACACCCACGTCAAACTACGGCCACTGGAACCAAAGATATCAAGAAAGTGAATCCCTGGTCAAAAAACTATACATTTCATCAACTTGAAAACGCTGCAGCTATTAAAGTCCAAACTAATTTTACATTTGAAACATTACTCAAAGACAGGGACAAATGTGTTCATTCTTATTTTGTTCGACAGCTCCTTGCATGCTATCATAATATTTTTGCACTTACTGTATATATATTTGTAAAAGAAATTGTGTAAGAAAAAGGAGGAGAGGCAGACAAATAAAGAGGAGGGAAAGATAAGACAAAACCTCATCAACAAAAGTCACTTAGCAAAAGTACAACAATGAAACCCAGCAGGGGGGTCGTCAATAAAATAAAGCTCTCCAACACCTCATATCTGTAAATGATAGCGTTAAAGAACCATGTTCTGGCTGGTAAGAAAGAGCAACAAAAGAATAGCATACAACAGGAAATCTAAAACTTATCCTTCTATATCCAAGCATTTGATTTCAGACAAATACACCAAAGATCAACTTAAATAAAACCTCCCTAACAATGAGATAAGCACAGGCAAGTAACACAGTGCTACTTCTTTCCCTCTCAAGCAAAATGATGCTGCAAAACTGAGACATATACATCTTCACCTACACTAAAGTACGTTCAAGTTCTTATATGAGCAGGATGCTAGTTAAAAAAAATGAAAGTTTAAAAGGAATATGAAAATGCATGTCACTTGTGAGTGCAAGTAAAGTTCAATTCAAACTACACACCCCCAACTCGCGATGGCCTTGGCAGTATTTTGTGGTTCCATTGGATCAGGTGGTGCTGGATTTCTACTGGTCTTCACAGCACAAAATCTACATCCACGGGTGCAAGTATCTCCCAGAAGCATGATTGTTGCTGTTGCTATACCATCACCCCCTCCATTCCAACACTATCCATTAGAATCCAAATATCAATAACATTATTTTTACCCTTCGAAATACTAACATAATTTAACGTAGGTATTTGTTACATTCCAAAAATATATATTCGTTCTTGATTTCATTCCTTGATATTACATTGCTCACAAAGACCATTGTGCAGAGAAAAGAAAAGAAAACTTAGCTCAAAATAACATGCTACATGCCGATGTAATGCAATGTCATAATATATCAATTTCTTACACTGCCAGATGAGGAAGCAATTTACAGTCACCATTCACCTTTGGATTACATGCAATTCGAAAAGGATAAACAAACTAATCTAGGATCAATTTTGTATCTCAAATATATAAGGAAAGCAGTTATTAACTCAATTCAATAACAAACTTCTATAGAAGTTCCAATAATAATAAAAAAAATCAAAACTGACAGCCGTCTACGATTTTATTCATCAAATCAGTTCTTATCGGTTATTAATGAATTTAGAGTGTTTTCCTCTTTCTAGTGTTTAAGTAGAGAAAAGATAGAAGCTATGAACTTGAACTGGAAAAGAACAAGGATAATTGAATAAAATGAGAGAAAGTAGCAATGAACCTCCCCAATATTCGGGCACTGAGCCTCCTCGCAGACAGTGTTAAGTTTCAAATGGGACAAGGATTTCTTAATCTCTTCGAACCGGTCACCTTGAGGAGCTCTCTGCCTCAACCACGCTGGCTTCTTCACATTCGGATCTCTACCGGTGTACGGGCCCATCCCACCTGGGTACGGCCCACTATTCTTCCCCGATTCCATCAAATTTGCCGTCAACGACAATGACGCTTGTTCCCCACTACTCTTAGAGAACGACAACGATGAATCCGCCGCCTCACATCGAATTGATGAAGTTGAAGGTAAAGGGCTATTGTATAAGCTGCAACATCTGGGGACTCTTTGAAATGGGTCGGGAATGAGACTGAAGATGTTTCATCAAAATCGAATGCTGAATCATTTTTCCCCCAGAAAATTTAGTATGAATCCGAGGGTGAAAGAGGAAGCTTTTTTTGGGCTTCAAAATACTCCCAAGCTTCTTCAGTGAGTATCGTGAGGCAGCGGAATGAGTGAGGAAGAAGATGAAGAACACAGAGTGACAGATAAATGGAGAATACGAGGCTCCTCAGATTTTTCAAGTCTGCTGCTTGCATTTGCAAAGGCTGCAGGGAAGCTTTGGTTTCTCCGTCAGGGAAGCTCAACTGTTCAACTGCATTTTTTTAGGGAAAATATCATTGGAGGACCATGGGAGGTATTTTATATTAAAGAAGGGCCTTGAGATTAAGATCTTACTCATTTTAATCCTTGGCTGAAAATAAATTTGCATGAAAGATGACTTAATTGCTCCTTTTAATGAAAAAAAAAAAAAGAATTGATTGTTAATGTTCGAATGTGTTGTTGATGTTGTCCAAATCCAAATGGCTTGCTATTTATGTAATATAAATACTTTTTTTATTAAATTTATGGTATTAATTTTTTTATCTTATTAAAGTTCAAATGTGTTATCAACCGCGAATTGATTATTGTCAAAATCAAAATAATTTATTATTTATACAAGGTGAACACTTGTTTAATTAAATACATGCTGTTAGTTTTTCAATCTTGTTAAATTTTAAATATGTTATTATTAATCACAAATTTGATGTTATCAAAATTCGAATAACTTATTATTTATATGAAATGAACACTTATTCTATTAAACACATGCTAGCAGTTTTTCAATCTTTTTAAATTATAAATGTATTGTTATTAATTAATTGTTGTTAAAATTTGAATGATTTATTATTTATACAGGATGAACATTTGTTATTTTAAACTTCAACTGTAATTTGATCATTTTTTGTAAAAACTTATTTTTGGTTAAGGATTAAGGTGGTGTAATGAAAAATTATAATATCATGATTCTTCTTTGATATAAATACCTCTTATGTCCTTTGGTGATATTTTTCCCTTTTTTTATTAAAAAGTTAAAAGGGAGAAGAATGGATAAATCATGAAAAATTAATTTAATCTCATAAAATACAATAATGACAATGTAGCTCAAAGGAACTTTTTTTATTAAATTTATGTGTGAAATTATTTTAGTACTTGTCTATGATTTGAAAAGCTGTAAAATTCTAAATCATTTTAATTGTTGGTGGAAATAAACTTACGAATAATTATATTAAACTTACAAATGATATAAAATTAGTTGAACTTTGCTTATAAAAAGTTGTAATTTTTTAAATTATTTTAATCATTGATAAAATCAAACTTGCGAATACTTATACCAAACTCATTGACTGTATAAAATTAATTAAATTTTACTAATTAAAAAAATTATTTATAAAAAATTGTGATCTCTAAATTGTTTTAGTCATTGGTAAAATCAAATTTGTAAATATTTAGACCAAACTTGTGAGCTATATAAAATTATTATAGAGGAGAAATAAAGTAATCTTAAAGAAATTTCTTGAAACCTCATTATCATTATCACAATTCATAGGGCCAAATTATGATTTTTTTTTTTCATTTCAGGGTATTTATCCAAGTTCAAAAAATAAACAAGAAAAATAAAAATAAAACATTTTTTATTAATTTTATACTTTAGGTAGTTAATTGTATTTAAAATTATAAATTTTATAATATTTAATGTTATTTCAATTAAAAATTTTCACTAATCACATTCTTAATTAACAATATTTTTTAAAAAATTATATTAATTTATTTACAAATAAATCCTATAAAAAAAAATCACACTGATTAAGGAACTTGAGTGTAATTTGATATTGGGGTGTAAAAATAACAATGCCTCTGTTAAAAATATACTATATCAATCAAATAATTTATAACTATTAATTTATAAATATTTTATTAAGTAATTTACAACTATCACTTTAATTTTTAAAATATAATTTCACATATCTAATAATTAAATTGATCATGTGTTTTAAGTTTAATATTAATTGCATACAACTACCTTATCATTAGTATCTTATAACTATGACTTTAACATTTTATAACTATAACTTTACATATTTAATAATTAAATTGATCATGCTTTAAATTATTTACAACTATCCCATCATTAATTTATAATTTGTTACTTCAAGATTTTATAATTATAACTTTATATATTTAATAGTTAAATCAATCATGCATTACTAATAAAGTTTAATACTAATTACTTACAGCATTTTATTAGTAATTTACAACTATGACTTTAAATTTTTATAAGTATAACTTCATATATCTAATACATAAAGGTATTATTATCTTTGCACTTTAATTTTAAATTATATCCAAGTTTCAAGGAACTTGATTGTGGTTTCTAAATTTTTACGGGACTTAATTGTAAATAATTTTTTTTTATAGGACTTATGCATAAATTTTCCTAAAATAAAGTCATGTTTTAGTAGAAAATAAAATAAACTCATACTGTATTATATTTAGCTTATATGATTGGAATATGATATACATATTTTTTTAATATGTTGACATTTATTGTGCTTTTATAATCATTATTTAATATTTAATATTCAATCAAAATTATTTATACAAAAAGCATATCAATACAATATGCAAGAGCAACGCTCTATCAATTATCATGAATCAATTGGTTTAGTTTGCATGATTTTATTTCAAGCAATGTGTAGGGAAGGTTTGGACAAAAGTTGTTTAGCAAGTATGATTGAATGAGATTTCTTGTAGAATGAATTTGTTTACCGTTAAGATATTGTTATTGTTTTTCTTCTAGTTTTAATTGGCAAGCATGAGGAATTAATAGGTTTTGTCGACACTAGAGAATAACTCCCGAAATTCTGACAACAATGAGTTAACCTTTGTCTGCCAGTCCAATATCTTCTGCAAAGGAATATTAAGTTGAATGGTAAATTATATAATACTATATCACTAAAAAAAACTACACTTGGGTTGAATTTATATTTATCCTCATGCCAATTTTAAGCAGTATAATATCTTTTTTATAAGGTGTTTTTCTCCCACAATTCTAGAAAAAAAAAAAGAAGATATTTCCCAAATAAGTTACTAAATTATAATGAAAAAAATATTTGGAATTTATTAAGAACTATTCCACTAATTCTATTTTTAAGTTGCTTTTAACATATTTTATTATGATCAAGAAAAACCTTAAAAACTCATTAACTCTATATGAAAATTTAACAAGTTCTCAATTTTATCCCTATTAAATATATATATTTTTTAATAATATATTTTTCTAGCATTCAATGGAGGGCAAAAGTGAAATTTTGATATGAAAATTTAATTATGTAACTTATAAATAGAAAAAAATAACTTTCTCTCATGCCTGACAAATAAGATTAGGGAGAGTATTTTTTTTTTAAATATGAGATGCTAAATAAATTAACTCCCCTTTTCTTTTAGAATAAAATTCATCCCTTTGATTTTATATGGTTTGGGATTTTGTGTTTTAAATATGAAGGGGTCCCCAAAACCATTTCATATTCTGAATTTGAAATTATATACATTGAATCTCTCTTGAACAGCTGAATTCATTAATGACTGATGTCACAAAATACATTAGAATTTGTCAAGGGATTTCTAGTCAATGTTAGTCGTATATGTGTATTTATTAGGAGCATTTAATAAATTGGATTTTCCATTTTATGACAATTATGAACTAACTCTTTTTAAAAAAAATCATGAGATGCTAAATAAATTAATATCCCTTAAGTTTATGTGATCTGGGCATCGTATATTCAATTATGAACAAATCCCTAAAAACATACTCCTTTGATCTTATTAATAAGGTAAAAGGAAAATGTTTATTTTAGTTTTATTTATAAGATATTTCAATAATTGTATGTTTATCTTTACCATTTTGCCTTATTAAATATAGGGAAGTTTATTAAATACTAGAGTATTTTATTTTAAAGTAGGTATATTTAATAATGGTAAAGTTAAAACTTATGAATTTTTAAACAGAGTTAATGAGATTTAATATTTTTTTTAATTAAATAAAAATATTAAAAATGACTTATAAATAAGATGAATATCACATTTTGAATTCAAAATTGCAAAATACATACATTGAACAACTCTTGGATAGAAGAACTCATTATTGAATACAGTCACAAAATATATTAGAATTTTTTAAGGGAATCCTAATCAATGCTATTTATTTACATGTATTTATTAGAAAATTTTAAATAAATTTTATTTTCCATTTTATGAAAATCATGAACTAATTCTCTTGAAAAATAATTTGATGCTAAATAAATTAACATTCCTTTTAAGTTTAAGGGATTCCTAGTCAATGTTAGTCACTTATGTGCTTTTATTAGGAGCATTTAATAAATTTGATTTTCTATTTTATGACAATTATAAACTAATTATTTTAAAAAAAATCACGAGATGCTAATAAATTAATATCCCTTTAAGTTTATGTGATATGAGAATTGTGTATTCAATTTAATAATAAATTGCATTTCTATTTTTATTATTTTTTCATTAAATTAGATTAAATAATTAGAATGCATTAAAGAATTATATTTCTTTTTCAAATTATATTCTATTTTTAAAGTTACAAACTAAGTAACAAAAATTAATTAGTTTTAGACACACACGCATTAATTCTATTCTATAATATCTAAGATATGAAAGAAGTAGGCAGTGGGAATCAAACCCACATCGTTAGCTTAGAAGTTTAGGAGTTATAATCATCATTGAGTGATCATTGTAACTTGTATTCCACAAAGATATAGCAAATACCAATGTAACTTGTAGACTACATGCATAGCAAGCAACTAAATATGCATCGACACCAATTCAAATTTCTTTAAAGGGTGCATGTTAAATCTTAGGTTTTTTTCCCCTTTATTGAAAGGAAAAAAAAAAAAAGCTATGACAAAGCAATACAAGGAATGATTTCTCAGATTTTTTTTTTTTAAAAGAAAAAAGCTATGCCAAATATTTTGTCTTACTAACATCAACCTTGAAAATCTTTCTTACTCATACATAGTGATGTCTAGGATCCCACAAACCTGAAGAACATCAATGGGTCGTGATGGTTGATAATTATTTAATTCTTCAATTGGACGGTACATCACAGCCATGGCATCATTCACCAAAGCTCATCAATGCCTCATAACAAAACAGAGAAGCCAAAGAAGACACTTCTTACAGCAAACTTGAGCCTAAAAGCCCTTTAAGCCTATGTTCATCATCAAGCACTCTTTAACCATGAAAGGTTACAAGCGCTACTTTCTCTCTTCACCAGAAAACTAACATGACATTAAACGCAACCTTTTTGAAAACACAGTGCTTCTATTCCCAGACAGTCATTCAAAGGCTATTGTGGAATGTTCCTGGCCCCGAATCCAAAGCCTCCATTTACTCCGAACGAAAAATGCAATGCAGGCCTACTGTACCTACAAGCCTTCAAGCATTGAGTATACATTGGTGACAACTGACAACTTCAAATCCAGCTACGTCATCCTATCACAGATTTTCACGAGTATAAATTATTGAGATCTTCATATGAGGGGCATTAACACATTTTTCATAGAAAATGAGTCATTAAATAGGAGGAAAAATTTTAATAACTGAAATAAAGTAATCACCCTATAACAAACATACAACGAAAAGAACCAAGAAAAAAAGAGAGAACGTATTGACCTCAGACTAGCTTTTCAGTCCCAAGTAAATCCTCTAGACAGCCCTTCAATAGGCCAGCTGAGGAAAACCAGAGTGCAAACCAAGAAAATCAACTCAATCCCACTGAAAGAGCAAGGGAATGAAATTAACAATTAAACTATGTTAAACATTGCTTCATGTTTAAATGCAACTGTTAAAGTTACACTTGAAAATTCTAAAGTGCTTGTGACTATTAGACTGTCTTCAATTTTTCTCTAGGAGTATATTTTTCTATCGATACTTTTTTTCAGACATCACAAATAAAGGAAAGTACAAGGGATGGAGAAGATTCTTCCTCAAGCCTCAAAGTTCTGCATCATGTGATTAATTTACATGAACAGGTTAAAAAAAATAGGGAAATGGCAGTATCTAAGCACTTCATTGCTTGTAAAACCTATAAACACAATTGCAATAAAAATATCCAATCCATTTGAACAAAGCCAATGCTCATCAAAGATTCTAAAACATCTAATTCAAATCTCTATCAGAACTTAAAAGTGCAAAAGATGATTATCTCGAACATTGACAACAAATAACACAAACATCTAGAGCCATATTTTAGAGACAGAGTCTCAAGATCATTCATATTACTTCAGTTTAGCACAGCAATATTAAGAGCATAAGCATCAACATGGGAAATTATACATTTTATTGGCAGTTTATTATAGAAAGAATCTACACACATTTCAGAGCTAATTAATGAACTACTTCATAACAAAAATTCAATGAAATGACCACTTCTCATAACATAACCATATCCAATGATTATGAAGATTCCCTCAAACTAACATAAACAAGTGTATATAACAGGAAGAAACTATCTAAAGACTTGCAAGTGTAGTATTGATCAACCTCAATGACAATTTTCAACATGCAGCAAGATTGAGGATATCATTTTGCCTACAAACTTTTTGTTCATGGCAAATCCTTTGATTAAGATGATAAGTTTGTGATAATGAAAGGCAAGAAACCATCTGAATTAGTCACTAACTAATGCCATATGTAACGCATTATATTTCGTATGTTTATGGATTTCAAGCAAAGGAAGGAGCACAAAGTTTCTTCTAGCATTGTGCTGTTTTTGCACAATTGTGGTGGCTTTGATTGGAATGGAATGTCAGTTTTAGTATAAAGTTTCTTCCTTCAAATCTTCTTTAGATAATAGTTAGTCTTGAGTCTTTCTTTTAGGTCATGATTTCAGCCAATGGTTTATTTGCAGGGTTTCTTTTGAGGATCTCCAAAGACATTGTAAGGCAGTTTTGTGTTGTTCATGGCTTCCTTGTCTCTCGTTTTTTCTCCTTCCAGTCAAGGAGCATGGCTTAACTTTTGTTCCTGATTTGGTGACAAACCTGCCTGTACATGCGCCCCCCCCCCCCCCCGGGGGATATGATATGAGTACGAGGACACGCATCTTTCACTATTAATATGGATAGAGTGTCATATTCTTATCGGCAATGGTATAAAAAATGATCAGCTTCATCTTAGAGTTTTCAAACAATCAACTTATATAAACAGGAGCGTGACATTAAGTTTCACTAAGCTGATTTGAATGCTGATGACTGGTGATAAGTTTTTTTTTTTTTTTTTGACTGATGATGAGTTAAAGAGATGATTTTTACAAGAATTTCACAACGCCTCATAGGATACAACAGGATTTTTTTTTTTTTTTTTGCGCGAAGAAGTGAAATATATTCCTCTATGAGCTGTACGAAAACAGAGAGCCAAACACGAAAAAAACTAAAATAACAAAGCCCAAGATCCAAGGAGTTACAAGCTATGGAACATAGGGGTAATTGGCGTTGTTAGAATGTTGTGGCATCTCATATGCACCAATTCCCATATAATCTTCCACATGTCCTATGTCCATGCCATACTGCGGAAGTTGGTCGGTCAGCCTTTCATTCTGTACATTAAAGGCAAACCCTTCAGATGTTGGTAGAGTCGGAATATATGGGTTGGCACTGCTAGATGGCTGCAGCGTCTCATATGCACCAATATCCATATAGTCTTCCATGTTTCCTATGCCACTGCAGTACTGCACACGTTGATCATTCTTTTCATTGATGAAAAATCCTTCCGATGTTGGTAGAGTTGGAATATATGGGTTAACACTGCTGGATGGCTGCAGCGTCTCGTATGTACTAACACCCATATAATTTTCCATGTCTCCTATGCCACTGCAATACTGCACATGTTGATCATTCTCTTTATTGATGAAAAATCCTTCAGATGTTGGTAGAGTTGGAATATATGGGTTGGCACTGCTAGATGGCTGCAGAGTCTCACATGTACCAATGCCCATATAATCTCCCACATTCCCAATGCCCCTGCAATACTGCACATGTTGATCATTCTCTTTATTGATGAAAAGCCCTTCAGATGTTGTTGCAGCTGGAAAATAGGCTTCTGCCTCTCTGGTAGTGTCTATGCTGAACTGCTGAAATTGGTCTGTCAACATCCCCTCTCGGAAAACTTGCAATTTGTCTGACATTGCAGAAGGTGGAATGGACAAGTCCACGTTGCCAGACTCTCCTTCCTTCCAGTTAAGTTTCTTCAAGCTCTGCTCAACTGCCATCTTCGTATCAAGCCAATCTGTAAGACTGGGCATCGCTTTCCCTGCCAAAGAGAGGATCATGAGTTGGTAAATCTCTTCTCCACGATTTTCCTCTCGCCTTTTCATCAGAAGTTCTTTCCCTTTGTTAATTCTACTCTGTATTGGTTCCTCCCTGCTCAAGGTCCCCTCCAAGGCGGGCCTAGCTTGACAGTGACACCTCTCAATCACCTGCTCGACACCTTCATGGTCCGGCCAAACCTCTGGTTGAGGATCAGAGGGGCCACTGTAAACGACTGCCCCAGCATCTACACCACAAAGGATGCTGAGCTCACGTATTTTTTTTACGACACTTCCTTTTCTTTTCTTATACGATAGTTTTCTTTTGGACTCATCATCGATGTACTCATACATGGTTATGCTTAAGGAGACCTGTTTTTGTTGTGCATACTGGTTCTTGAACATCTCTCCTTTATATAGAGAGCTATCTCACAATCTGAATCTGACTTACACTGAACCTATTTCTGACTTATTAATGGGTGGTGTCAGAAAACATTAGAATTTATGAGGGTATCCTGGTCAACATTATTTCAGAAATTTGAAAACTTTAGTCAGTATTTAGGAAGAAATCTGTGGGCTGGATTAAAGGTGTTAAAGTGATTAAATATTTGACATTATTGAAAGGATATGTGAAATCTGAAACTTCGATACTCCCTCATTTTAAATTTTTAAGGGATTTGTTTGGGTCCGAAATGTAAAGCCTCAATCTCCTTTGTCCCCCTTATTTATTTAGTTCTTTCTCAAACTATCCTTCGTGTAGATTCTTGAATTGTAACGTTGAATGGCCACCATATAATTAAAAGTGCGCATTTTAGGGAAACTAGTGTATATTTTATACAAATAAGTAACCTAATTTTCTTAATCTATGTAAATTAGTTAACTCCCTCCTACATTTAGGACCAAAAAAGTATATAAAGTCAGTTAGATGAGGAAAAAAAAATTTAAGGACTTAAGGGTTGAGATGGTACGGCACAACTGTTTTTATGGGGTGCCTTATCCTCATTTGGGGTCAAAAGCAAGATATTAAAAACTAGACCATGGGTTGAAAAACTACTAATTCTAAACTCAATGGTTTGACAGTGATTAAATCAATTATGATCAAATAAATATATTTCTAACTATATATTAACTATTTCAAATAAGAAAATGAAAATAATGACAAAAGATATAAAAAAATTGATTTCAAATAAACTATAAAAAACTTCAAAATTTTGAAGTGACTATAGATAAGAAAAAATATATCTTTTAAAAAGTTAATAAATATTTTATAATTAAAAAATAAAAATGTGATCATTATTTGATATGAGATATTTATGATGCTTGAGCTTATTATATAATTTTGTAACATACACATTTCTTTCTCATTTGCCTATTAGTTCATAGCTTAAGATGTAATGATAGTTAATGACAATAATGGTTGAAAATTTTTTCTTTTAAATTACCATTCTAACTGGTTGAACCACAATTTTTGAAGTTTTAATTGGTCTTGACAAGTTATCTTATAGGATGGTTTACCATATTATGCAAACTAATCTAGTGACCAGTTCACCAACTTTCTAATCTGACTAACTAGTTTGGTTTGGCTTTATTACTTGAGTCAAAACCATATCCACTTTCTTTTTGGTGGAAAAAGTGTAAACATTTGGTCCGTAAGTAAACTTTGTTTGGATCTCACTCCCCTCTAAGGTCCAGTCAAAATTTATGCCATGATTACATGAAAGGATTTTTCATTAATTGCATTCATCGAATTTATCATGTATGAGCATTGAATAAATCTGATTCTGTATTCATGAATATTATGAAATATGAAATGATCCCAAAACAATATTAATGAGATGCTAAATAAATTAATGTTGCTTTGAGTTTATAAAACCAATGAAAATAACCCTCTACTTTCAGAAACTACACAAAAATCCTATATTTTAAATTTTTCATTAGAAATTTGAGGTTTTTTTAATAATATAAAATTGGATAGGATATTTGGATATGCTTGAAAAATTAGCAGACATTTTCCTTATATAATTTCCAACTCATCATAACATTACCAACTCAACAAAAAAAAAATTAAATAGAATGCGTGTGCGCAGAGAATATAAGGACACACTAAAGTATAGCGATAAAAAATTATACTTTCCCTAAATTTAAAGTTGGTCAAATATTTACATACAAATTTTCTTATAACTTAACATTCATTTATTATTTGAGGTAAGAAACTAGATAGTTCATCACAATTAAAATATTACAAATCACTCTATAAAAATTAAATGCAATGTTAATAATAATGCTATGACATAAACCATGCATGGTTTAGTTTTGGTAGAGGTTAAGCGGATAAAAGAAGTATCTCTAGAATGATGAAAAATACAAAAGAGTGTTAATCTATCCTCCTAACATATAAGATTAAATTATATAAAACTCCTAAACTTCAACCTGTGTTTAAATTAACCACCTTAACTTTTAAAACTTAATAAAGAATCCCCTTAAACTTTGAAAATTTGTGCACATAACCTATTGCCAGTAATTATTCCAATATTTCACTGGAGGAGCATAATATGTTCTTGACTAAATATCCCCTTAAACTTTTTCTTGTACATATAACTCCTATCAAACTTTGAGTTATGTGAAGATAACCTGCTAAACTTTTATCATATTCAATTCAAATAAACCCTATATTATATTATTTTAGTAAAATAATGGACAAATTAACGACATGAGAGTTATTTTGATAAATGCAAGAGTTTAGGGGGTTTGCAAAATTGTAAAAGGTTAGGAAAGTTACTTGCACATAACCCAAACTTCAAGGAGGTAATGTACAATTTGGTACACAATTTTTTTAAACCAAAAAAAAAAAAAAAAAAAACACACACACACACACACACACAAATAAGCAGGATAAAATCAACCCAATCCATCTACAAAGCTGAAAGACACATCCTTACAGAAACCTTGATACAAACACAAAAGGAGAAGCCTCAAGCATATTAAAAGTGATTTGCTTTGTAAGCTTGACAAACTGAATTAATAATACTTCGTTTTCGTTATGGAAGTCACTTTTTCATTTGAATTAAGGCCTGAAGAGTTAAGGGGTTCTTCTAAGTAAAATAAACACAAAAATCATGACTCTTTTTGGGGTAGAAAAGAACTCTAGGTGTGACTTTATACCAAGCAGATTCACAGATTCAATAACATGTTTAGAGGTGAACATGTGCCCTTGAAAATACGGGGACTCCCCACCATCCAAACAAACTAGAGTTCCATAAATTGCACATTCAAACAACATCGTTACCCTTCTTATAACCAAATCCTTTAAAGTGAATAAGAAGAAATTGATCGAGACAACTAGAACACCACATCCAATTATATCCAAAATACCAAAGGGCTTATATATCCTTAAGGCAACTTACTGTTGAACAGTGAAGAAATAATTGGAGGCATAGTTACTGGCTCGGATCTGCATATCACAGACATGTAGGACAACGGAGGAGCCATAAGGAGCCATTGCACCTTCAACATTTCGTTGCTGTCTATCCTATTGAAAATTGTTGTTTAAACAATCAATTTTACCTTTGAAAGATCTTTTGATTTCCAAGTTGGTTTATCAAGAATAAACATATCCTTGTAGAATGATTGAGGAACTGAAAATAAGATTTACACCAAAAATTATCAGACAAATAAAGATTCCAACCTCTCCTATCATAACTTGCAGAGAAAGCAACAGAGTTAAACGAAGACAAGACACACTGAAGCTCACTACTTTTTTGTATTATTCCATTCTCTAAAACATGAAAATTCAAAAAATGAGTGGAATTTTGAGTTAAGAGGCCATTGTACAGCCTGAAACCTAGTCAAAATAGCTCAAGACAAAAGAATTGAGCATTCTACATGGATTCCAGCCACACCACTCTTCGTTGAATTAATCTTCTGCCTGAAATAGGCCTCAAAAAATTGATCAATGTAATTAGCATTTATGAAGCTAAGTCTAACAGCCAATAAGAACATGATACTATCATCTGCAAAGAGCAAGGGGAAAAAATGACCTCCTCTAAACCAGCAGTAGCACGCTTAATTACACTCCTATCTGAAATCCTAAAAAACATCTAACTAGAAACACCCACCACTTAAGTGAAACGAATTTTTTATAACTGGCTCAGATTTCGCATAACAACTAAAATAGAAACAATAAATAAATACAACCATGTAATAAAACATTCTTTTGGCTAACTCATCCCACGATAGAAACAGTTTCCCATAAAAAATCATCCCAGTGCTCTTCATTCGTCTTTCTGCTTTGAGCTTTTTCATGGGTTGAATGCTAAAATGTCCGAGGCTTTGAGATTTTTTTCCAGGGATTGAATGCTTAACAACATCTTAAGCATCAACTGAAGAAGTTCATTGTGAATTATTTATACTTCATAAAGGACGTGCGTGACAAGCAGATGAACTGAACTCCATAGCAAAATCTTGTGCATTAAAGGAATGAAATGATGACCATTTGTTACATGGAAAGAACAAGTTGGCTATCCTGATTCTTGTGTCATGTATAAAAATCTGAACTTAATTGGTCCGTCTAACCTTCCCAACTAAAGAGTGGGTCTTCTTTCCCAAAAAACTAAGCAATGACCAATTATAGAAAAGAGTAAAGACTACTCAATCTTGTAAGGTTAACTAGCACTTTAGCACGAACAATTGTTGATAGAGGTATCAATAACATAGGAAGGTCAATAGGGAAGCAATACGAGAGATGATAAACAAATGAAAGTACCAGAAGATACTCTATAGGGAGCAGGAAAGATTAGATAAGGCATCATATTGCCAACCTGGCATGATCATTTTCCAATAGAATTAGGGTTCAGGTATGAGAATCTAAGGTTTATTGCAATTTTACAAGATCAAGTGTTGTCTCCATTCAAGCAGGACATAATTCAAGCCTCCTTTTACCCAAAAAGGATAGCCTAGGTGTAATTTTCTACGTCGCTATAGTGTGTCGTACCCCTCTCCATGCTCAGAAGAGACATTTGAATTCATCTGGCACTAAATGAACATCTACAATACCTTGGAGGTCGCCCATGAAAGCAATGCAAGCCATACTTGTGTCTCAGCAACTCTATGCATTAATGAGTCTCCCCGATCAATTATCAACATAAATACAACCTTATGACTCTTATTCTTTGTCAGAAAACCAAACCATGAAAAACCATTGAGCTGCTTTAATGAAGCCAGGAGTTGTCAGAAATTGTCAATCTTCGTTCACTACTCTGGCAGCTCGGTAATTAGTGGCAGCAAGCTCATAACATCCTGTGATCTGAAGCTTGAGTGTTTACTACAGATCAGAAGTTATCATGCTTACCTGTGATACATGGGAATTAGGAATAATAGGGGGATAAAAGGGTGGTTTGGAAATTTAG